TACTTCAATAAACCTCAACTCATTGTATCTTGTAAAATTTTCATTCATGAACACGGTTGATGCATCAATCCAAATAGTTGTTGTCAAGAAAACGATTAGGCCAAAATCAAGTTTTAGTTAGAGATTCAATTAAGCAAAAATTCACGCTAAGGAAACAAACAAATGTCATTGCAAACGTGTAGAAATTGAAAGAACGTCGAGATAGACAACTTAGAGACTACCACCACCATTTTCTTTCTTCTTCGCACCTTTATAAAACCTCACACTTATAACCCCTTGCTATGTTTTACTGACTAACCAAATCATAATCATATAGCTAGTAGCATGTCACTCATGAACATAATAAACAACTCTAACAACTCTTATTTCCATTTTATCATCCACAAAATTGGGATGCAATAGGCAAGTAAAATGATCAATTATTCAACCAAAGGAGAGATACTCTAAGTCCAAGCAATAAATCATTCCAATTGTCTATTACATGTTTACATAAATGTATTCAACATAGAGAACCATAAACAACTACCTGAAAAACAAAGAGAAATGCATTCATTGATTTGAGCAGGGAAATTTACGATCCAACCATTGTAATCTGGAAGAAATTAAAAAACAAATGGAAAGAAGAGTTTAATATAGCTAGTCAACCACAAACAACCACATATCTCTAGGAAAAAGATACTAGTTGTCAGCTACAGATTAAGGATGAAGAGGGAGCAATGAGCAATCGTCGACTTCATTCAATTCGTCTTCGCAATGATAAGATGAACTTTTTTAGTCAATAGTCAAATATATGTTACAGTTGCTCAATTGTTTCCCATCTAATCATTATCTTATGTAACTCCACCCTCGTATTCTCTTACAAAGAGTAAAAACTCAATATGCCTTACTATTTCCTTTCCTATATCTGTTTGAAAAAAATAGAGAAAAGAAATGCTAGAAATCTCATTTTGAGCAAATAAGAAGAGACATTTGTTTGTTTTTTTGCATTCCGTGTTATTAACTTAATTTATGTTTTATTTATAATGATGATAATTTAAAGAGTAAACAAAAAAGTATATAAGCAAGAATTAGAACTTGTCCACTGTGAAAGGGTGAGAGCTAGCCATTCGTTGATGTGACACTAATTTAGTTTTAAATTCCTATAATTTTAAGTAATGATGGTTTATAACTTTTTAAATTTTTTTATAAACTTTAAGAATTCATACAAATATTGTGACATTTCATATGCATTTGAATACTCAGATTTATTATAGACAAATTTATTGTAAATACAAATTGCTTACGGTTACAAAATAGAAAATTCCTATTTGATACTTTGATATTGAAAACTTTTTATTATTGCCAAAAGTTGGCATAGGGTCATAGACTCGCACCATATAACCGAATGATTTATTACAATTGCCTTATTAAGCTCATTCTTATTAGGGATTTTTCATTTTAACCCAATACCTTGATTTAGATTCTTGCAACTATAAAAGTTTGGGTGCGCCTATGACTTGCACTTTTCGGTCGACCTCAGTTAGGATTAGGTCGACCTCATTGAGGATTAGGTCGACCTAAATAGTTGTTTCAGTGTAAAAACAGTTTCATGATGCCTACTTTGGAGATTCATATCAAACAATTGGCTAGATGGAAATTGAAGATTAAAGGCTTTTTTTGAAGCTGGAGTGTCCGTCTACATATTGAAGTGATTAAGAGCTCGATAGGAAGTCCAAAAGACCATTTTTGAACCTGATCAAAAGGCTATGCCAAAACTGGGAAACTGCCTGAAAATGACCAAGTCTGGAAACGTGTTTGTGTAGCCTACTTTGGAGCTCAATTCGAGAAGCATGAATGCGAGTCGAGTCCAGGGGCCTCTACCAAGTTAAATTAGGTATGTTTTTATACAAATTCAAGACATTGGATGAAAGATTGGATATCTGTTAGGCTTCAAACAAAAGGGTCGAAGTTGCTACAAAGCCTGTTTTTCTGGCAGACTTCGAGCACAAGCAAGCTGCTAGAGAAACGACCTTCGTAGCAACTTTGAGACTTTTGTTTGAAGTCTTAAAGATATCCAATCTTTCATCCGACGCCTTGAATTTGTAGACAAACATACCTAATTTAATGTGGTAGAGGCCCCTGGACTCGAATAGCATCCATGCCTCTCAAATTGAGCTCCAAAGTAGGCTTAACAAACACGTTTCCAGACTTGGTCATTTTCAGATAGTTTCCCAGTTTTGGCATAGCCTTTTGATCAGGTTCAAAAATGGTATTCTAAACTTCCTATCAAGCTCCCAAGTACTTTAATGTGTAGATGGACACTTCAGCTTCAAAACAAGCCATTAATCTCCAATTTCCATCTAACCAATTGTAAGATATGAATCTCCAAAGTAGGCACCATGAAACTGTTTTTACACTGAAACAACAGATTAGGTCGACCTAATCCTATATGAGGTCGACCGAAAAGTGCATGTCACCGTGACATGCATGTCACCGTAGCGAAGTCCTAAAAGTTTTTGTTTAGATATCTCAACTAACACACTGATATTTATTTATTGTCTCAATCCTCATATTTTGATTTGTCTAAAAGACATTCAACTATTAATAAAAATTGTCCAATCCTTATTTGATCAATGCCTAGGTTAGTGACTGATGAAATATGATATTTATCGTATATTCTCAACAAATATTCCTTTAATATTCACATGTGTAATTTTTTAAGGTATATTGTGTCTCGTCTTAAGCTATGAAGTCAAAGTTCGTCAACTCTTATACTTAAGTCATTTTGAAAATTTTGATGTATAATCCTAGACAATAACTCTAATCTAAAAAGAAAATTTATTAGCATACTATTTATGACCTTAATTGAGCTTGCTCAATCAAAATCATCTAAATCAAATATTTTAGGATTTTGCTACGGTGACATGCATGTCATGGTGACATGCACTTTTCGGTCGACCTCATATAGGATTAGGTCGACCTAATCTGTTGTTTCAGTGTAAAAACAGTTTCATGGTGCCTACTTTAGAGATTCATATCTTACAATTGGTTAGATGGAAATTGGAGATTAATGGCTTGTTTTGAAGCTGAAGTGTCCCTCTACACATTAAAGTACTTTGGAGCTCAATAGGAAGTCCGGAAGACCATCTTTAAAGCTTTAAACAAAAGGGTCGATGTTGCTACGAGGCTGTTTTTCTGGCAAACTTCGAGCACAAGCAAGCTGCCAGAAAAACAACATTCGTAGCAACTTCAAGCCTTTTGTTTGAAGCCTTAAAGATATTCAATCTTTCATCCAATTCCTTGCCTTTGTAGAAAAACATACGTAATTTAACGTGGTAGAGGCCCATGGACTCGACTCGCATTCATGCTTCTCGAATTGAGCTCCAAAATAGGCTTCACAAACACGTTTCCAGACTTAGCCATTTCCAGGCAGTTTCCAGTTTTGGCATAGCCTTTTAATGAGGTTCAAAAATGGTATTTTGGACTTCCTATCGAGCTCTCAATCAATTCAATATGTAGAGGGACACTCCAGCTTCAAAACAAGCCATTAGTCTTCAATTTCCATCTAGCCAATTGTATGATATGAATATCCAAAGTAGGCACCATGAACGGTTTTTCTCTTCACCGTGACATGCATGTCACCGTAGGCGCACCCAATATTTTAATGTGAACTTAAACCAAATTATAAATATTGCACATGTGATTACTTTTCATTTGAGAAATTTCAGGTAGAACATGAATATATGTTTTCACTTCATCATGATGAATAGAAATATTTTTTAAGAAATTATTATTATTGCTCGATCAAGTTATATTTTGATAATTATTTTATTATATGAAATATTTATTTATATAACAATTATTTTAATTGGTAGACATATATATTATAAAGAAGAGAAGGTTTAATATATAAATTCATATATATCATTTCTCAAATTTGATTGATTGTTAAATGCTTAATTTGTTTCTTTGTGTCATTATATTTTATTTACTAGACAAAGTTATTATTATTTATGTGTGTACTTATATAAATTGTTCATCCAAAATGTTACTTATTATTAAGTTTTGGTTAAAATGAGTAGATAATTTACTTGATAAGATTTTATCATATACTTTTTGTTTAAACAAACCCAATATATATCATTCTTTGTTTTCATTTTTATATATTTTTTAATTGACAAAAAATATTATTATTTGTGCTTATTTTTATTTACATTTCAATGTAATTTATTATTAATGTTGAGTAAAAGTGAGCATAAATACTAAAAGAAGAGAGATAGCTTAATAAATAGATCAATAATAAATTTTTTTGTTAGTAAAAAAAATGACCACCTAGGCAATTTGTTATTTCTCCAAGTGCTTATGTGACAAGATGTTACTTTTGAATTGTCATAATATATAGTATAGATATAGATAGATAGATAGATATAGATAGAAGATAGATATATATAGATATAAATAGATAGATAGATTGTGCAGATTGGTGGATTAAAAAAGGAACTAGGAATTAATGATGGGTGAGGAAAAACATAAAGCAATTGATTACTTTTTAGTTTTTAAATTTGATACTCTTAATCAGAAAATTATATTTAGTATTTTAATATTTATATTACATGTTGGCTTTAAATATATTTAATTTTTATTACATGTTAGATTCCTTACAAATTATTACGGTGGTGTAATGTTATATGTATTATACGTATTTTATATGAGACTTTATATAATTTGTAATATATATTCAATTTATTTACTATATAATGTTTTTACCATATATCCGGACTAAACCGGGTTAAATTGTGCTAAACCGATCGGACCATTAACTATTCACCCACTAGCACGATCGAGTCCGGGTCGACCTACGGTTGACAACCTTCACCAAAACCAAGAAACCGGAATAGTTTCTCTCCAAAAATGAACAGTTAATTAACAAAAAATTCTGACCCTCCCACTCAGTCGTTCTCGTAGAGCACTTGTTGCGGACCGGTTCGCTCTCCACCTAGTTCCATAGCCGGACGGCCACAATGACGGCCGCCATGGAACCTCCACCTCCACCTCCCAGGAACGCTGATCCTGCAACCGCATCGACTTCAGGGAACGAATCGCAACTTCTAACCGTCGATGGGCAAGACTCAAATGCTCCAGCTGAATCGCGAAGCACGATGGGTCCGCCAGCTCCCCGCAAGAACCCTAATCCTACCGAAGAGGTACCTCAATCCGAAGACAAGGTCAGTTCTGATGCAACAAAGGATTCTGCACAAGCCCAGAAGCAATCTTTTGCTGTGCCCTATACCATTCCTGAGTGGAGTGGTCCGCCTTGCCATAAGTTCCAGCTGGAGGTTCTTAAAGATGGCACCATTGTTGACCAATTCGATGTGTAAGTTTCTCCGTTGAGTTTGTTTTTGTTGTTTCATGTGTTCCTCTTCAGTCCTAAATTGTAGTGCTCAGCAAACACTCGCAATAGACTTGAGTGTATTGTATATCATATCATATAACATATAATGTATATATTGTACTCTTCTTGCCCTTAATGCTGCTCCCCTGAACGAATGCAGCTGTGAGAAGGGAGCTTACATGTTTGGACGTGTTGATCTCTGTGACTTTGTTCTTGAGCATCCAACTATCTCCCGCTTTCATGCAGGTACTTGCTCACTTCTTTTTCTATATTGGTGAGTAATCTATGTTCTTTGGTTATTTAGGTTCCATTGTATGAGAGGACTTTGGTAGTGGTTAGTAATTTGAAGCTTTTATTTGCTCCAGTAGAAATGGCAAGGAAAGTGAATGCCCGTGCTTAGGCCCGGTTTGTCCTTTCTAGGCAACTTCTGTAGTGAAGTTAGGAATAATAGAGTCCAATTGTCAGAAATCTGAGTCCTTTATGAAGTGAGTTTCAAATGAAGATCGGTTGCGATAAGTATCTCTGGTGAGTCAGTCATAAATTCGTTTAACCTCTTGCATTTTATCAGTATTTCTGAAGGATAACTCTTCTTTTGTGTTTACTGTTATTGCTGGACTCCTGATTATATCCACTAAATGGATGGTCAAATCAACAACCACTTATGGATGTCTAAATTATTGAAATTGCACTTGTGGATTGCTAACGGTCAGCTTAAGTAGAAACTTGGTAAATGATCTGATGTTGGTCTTCGTTTTAATTGATTGCTTTTTACATTCAGTTTTGCAGTTCAAAAGAAGTGGAGAAGCGTACCTCTATGATGTAGGGAGCACACATGGTACTTTTATTAACAAGAGTCAGGTAGTAAGCTTTAATTGATTTGTATGTGTTATTAATTGATATTGCTACCAATCAACCTTCTACCACGGGAGTACAGTTTTGATCCTTTTGTCTGGGCTATTGGGTGGATAGCATATTTAAGACCTGATGACAAGGCTTCATAGTACTTGGCATAATATTGTGAATTAACAAACTCCAAATACTTTTACCCCTCCATTGATGCATAGTGCCAAGAAACCAATGACTAAGTATTGTGTTGTTTGTTGTTGTCATGCTGATAAGTGAGAAGTGAAAGGTAAATTAGTTCACCAGTTTACTTAACATGTAGAGGAGGTTAATATTTTAATATATAGAGCAAGCAAACGGCCTTGTAGCTATGTTAAATGTTCTCCCTCCTTTCTCCTCCTCCTCCGTCTCGCTTTTGGATGCTTAGGTGCTTTTCCATGTGACTCTTGGTGGTTAAGAATCATATTTAACCCCTTCTCTCTTTGGATTTTATGTGTCCTTCCTTTTGGCGTGAGCAGGTGGAGAAAAGAGTTCATGTTGCTTTACGCGTTGGTGATGTCATTCGCTTTGGCCAGTGAGTAATTTGTCTCTCAACTTTATTCCATGTGCACTGCTTATGTCCTAATTTTGTTTTAATTAATCACTAAAAAGATTGTTTCAAAGTTGGATATGTGAATGCAAAAGGTGAAGATTTTAAGGTGGCGGGACTGTAAGTTTTATCTGTTGGACATCAGAAATAAAACCTTTGATTGAGGGTTCAAAAATTTATTGTTGATTATCATGTTTATTGGTTCGATGGCTCTCTCTTGTCAACATTTTGTTTGCTTACGAATATTTTTGTGCTGGCTCTGTTGCTGGCAGAATCAGGCATATCAACATATGCTTATATTGCTTAGTCTTCACTTGTTCCCGGCATACTTATGTCCAATGATTTTCTATATGTTCCTTTTCTCCAGGTCGTCTCGATTGTACATTTTTCAAGGGCCACAGGACCTGATGCCACCGGTGAGATTTGTCCCAGAAGTGTCAAGATTTATATACTTTTAGTTAACCTTAGTATGGAGAAAGCTACCTATTTTCTCATGAATTTAGTTAAAAGATCTTTCAAAACCTTCATTAACTTCTGAAGCAGTTATGTAGGCCTCCAAGTGTTTTTGTAATTAACTAAATATTATGGATATGCTTATATAATCTTGAGTATGATATATATCACGTTCGTCATCATATATTTTTGTATACTTCTAGTTTTATGCTGGATATAATTTTCATCTTGTTGTACTAGTAATGAGTTAGTACTTAAAAAGAGTAATAAGTTAGTACATCACATTGGAGATTTGATTGCCCAATGTCAAGTATTGAGCCTTTACCCAAATGCTCTAATATTTTTAGGAAGCTAACCGCAAAGTCCTTACAAATGCTCGGGCCCACCAAGAAATGCTAGATCGAGAAGCTTCAGTTCACCGAGCGAGAATGGAAGCATCTCTTGCTGATGGTATCTCCTGGGGCATGGATGAAGATGCTATTGAAGAAGCTGAGGTCAGTAGGCCCTTATTTATTCCTGCCCAAACTTGTGTCCACAATGTCTGGTTAGTTTTAGTGATTGGCTATTTTGCAGCAAATGCTGTATACTTGTTAGGATATATTTGATAATGGTCCTCAGCGTTTTCTGGGATTATATGATCATTTCACTTTGCAACATGGCACCATTTAAGAAAAGAGTTCTTGAAGTTATCTCATACTCCTAAGCCTCTCCTGCCAATTGGTCTGCAATCGTATATGGCTCCTGTTCTATTTTATCCCCTGGAAATTACTACTTAAAATTATTGCCCCATAAACACAGCCATCACCAGTGCAACTATTGTTATTTCTTATGTGCAGGATGATACTGATGAAGTAACTTGGCAAAACTACAAAGGACAGCTCACAGAAAAGCAAGTAAAGACCCATGATAAAGTCATAAAACGAAATGAAAAGGTACTGTATGGTTTCATTCCTGGGCTTACTACTCTTCTTACCTGATACTTAATGGTTTATTTTGGCCATTTGGAGGTTCTCTTATCTTCGTTCTACTCTGTTCCTCTTGATTTTGTGAGCACTGTCTGCCTCTTACATATGGTTACAGATTGCGCATATGAAGAAAGAAATAGACGCTATTCGTGCCAAAGATATTGCTCAAGGTGGGTTGACGCAAGGTCAGCAAACACAGATTGCTCGCAATGAATTAAGAATCACTCAGGTAAACAGCCATCCTCTGATGCTTTGGTTTTGCCACTTGTTCTTGTCCTTCCTTTTCTTAAGAAGCTTATCATTACTTTTGTTATTCTTAACAGCTAATGGAGGAGCTGGAAAGCTTGGAGGAGACTTTAAATGAAAGCATTCGTGAAAGCCTTGGTGCTCGTTCGGGAGGGATTTACCGTGGCAAAAAGGGAACAGAGGAGGATGAACTATACTCCAGGTGCTTAATGATACTGAAAATGTTTACATTTATTGCATGATGCTTAATGATGGCTGCTGATGCTTGTAATGTGTTTTCGCAGTGACGATGATGATTTCTATGACCGGACAAAGAAGCCTCTAGCAAAAAAGGCTGGGGAAACTCAATCTGTTGAGACTGCAGATAGCTTGCTTGATAAGCGAGATGCCATCATGAAAGACATGGAAGAGATAAAAGACTCGATTCTTCAAGAAAAAAACAAAATCACATCCGAAAGGGGTGGACAAACTGAAGCTGCAGACGAACTTGATGCTTACATGTCTGGACTATCATCTCAGCTAGGTAAGAGATGCTGCATTCTGGATTATTTGTTCTATGATTATCTAGTCTGCAATTTGTTGCAGGTGTCATTTTGTGTTGACTGTGACTGTTGATTCCGATTCTGGATATGTTATTTTCCAGTGCTTGACAAGACTCAAAAACTTGAGAAGGAGTTAGCAGGCTTTAAGTCCGAACTAGATAGAGTCATGTACTTACTGAAGCTTTCTGACCCTTCGGGTGAGGCTGCTAAGAAAAGAGACTTGAAGAAGACACAGGGGAAAGCAGCACCTGTTAAAACAGATGTTTCTCCTGCCTCAACTGAAACCAACCCTACCATGGAGGTGAGCAAACCTAGAAAGTCAGAAAAGGCAATCAATCGACCAGTTGCTACCAAAGATGGCAACACTGCTCCACTCAAAGAATCAAACACCAAAGAAGAAGCTGCTGACAAGATTGCTGTTCATGCGCCTGTGGAGACAGGGGCAGCAACTCCCTATGTTGTTGTGAAACCCCAATGGCTTGGTGCTGTGACTGACCAGAAAGTGAAAGAGACCAAGGAAGAAGTCATCAATGTGGATGAACCTAATCAGTTTGTAGACTACAAAGATAGGCAAAAAATCTTGCAGAATGTTGGCAACAGTGCTTCTGATAGTAAGTTGTCGAGTTCAGATATTGAAGGTGCTGCTCCTGGCCTTATCATAAGAAAGCGCAAGGAAACAACAGGGGAAGGTCCTAATGAGCAGCCATCATCATCATCTCAAATTGGACCCAAGTTCAAGGCGGAAGATGCTGTTGCTCTATTACTGAAACACGAAAAGGGATACCATTTGGAGGATGAGGAAGCAAAACAAGAAAGCCAACTAATTTCTGATGCTAGCCATGATATCAAAAGGCCAAAAAGAACAATTGGCCCCCAGAAACCATCTTTTCTTCAGGGAGACTCTGAGAAGGAGCTGTGGGTGCCACCTCAAGGTTAGTGAAGCCATTTCCTCCCTTTTTGCATTGCTGCTAGTTGATATTAGTGTTGTTGACATGGAGGCAAATGTTCTTAATGCTGGTGTCCTTTCGCTTTCTCAAACTTTATGCATCTTTTCTTATGCAGGACAATCTGGTGATGGACGAACATCCTTGAATGATAGATATGGATACTAAGAGGAACTGGTGCTATTTAGATATATACTGGAGGCATAATTTAGCAGGAAGTCATAGCTGCATTTGGCAAGCTGAGGAAATGATGTCATCCGAGTTCCGAGAATATGGTCGTCAGTGGAAAAAGAGAACACATCAGAGGAACAAGCACAAAGCATACTTTCATTGTCATAGATTGTACCAGAACTAGGAGCTTAGCACAAGCCTGTACAGAAATTTTGTTGCTAGTTCTTTGCACCGCCATCTGCATATATGAGATAATGCTGGAAAAGGGCCGGATAATAAGATATAGAACTTGAGTTTGTACGGCTGGTAGCTGGAATTTCACTAATTGTTACTTAAAAAATTTCTTTACAAAAATTACAATGGGGTTTATAACTTCTGCGAGACAATAATGGACTCAACCGTTCAGCTTATATGTAGGAAAAGGCCACAGTATCTTATCTCCACACAAGTTATTTACATAGCCAGGACATCAACCAACCAGATTGAAACGTGACGAATCCTGGAAAGGACCCGACTTGGCATATTATGCACTCCACATTTGCCTTCCACCAATACTCTCCTGAGATCGCATTGCAACTGTCCTCACGACCCACAACAGATAATCAAACGGTTGCACTCGTTCAGCACAAGCTTTTAACCAGTGGCCTCAGCTCCTCCAGACCACCATTGTGCAGCTTCTAAATCTGCCACCAGCTAATAGAGAGCCTGGGATGGAATGCTCGAGGGTGGATAGGTTGTCTTCTGGTATTCTATTCACTCAATGTACAGCACCAGTGATAGTATGCTTTGCCTCAGGCTAGTTGAAAAAATAGGTCGAATGCAGAACCTCTCTTAGATCGAAATCTCCTCTTTCAGGCAAAGGAGGAAAAGTTAGCGTAGGAAACGACTCCTCAAAGCTCTCCAGCAACTGCACACAGATGGAAATAAAATTACCAGTATGAGAAAGAAAGAGCAAATCAAGTGGATGTAGGGATACTTACGTTCTCTAGAATTGGGGCATCGTAGAGCTCAATGAATTTCTCTCTCAGTATCGTGTTCAGTTGATCCACATCACATGCGTGCGTCCAGAATGAATCGTGGACCCCTGTAACCATTACATTAGGCATGATCAATAATGACAAACAGAAGAAGGATGTGAGAAGCCTAATTCAAGTCACCAGAATTCTATATACCTGCAAAGTTCATGCCTGCCCTTTTGCAGGCGATGGCAGTCATCATCATATGCGAACCATCCAGGGAGTGCACAAAATTTGGTGGGAAAGCTGTTCTTTGCCTCTTCACCATGACCTGGGTAACAAAGTGAAAAAGCTAAGGTTTCAGGATTTTTGTATTCAAGAGTCCCAAACACTCTGCTTATCACTTCCCCATAATTTTTGTTACCATATGTTGGTAATATTACCTTCTCAGTTTCTCGTTGTAGCGTTAAGACCTGGAGGGATGTTTTGATCTGTAATACGGAGAACAGGTAACATTAAGTTCCCATATGGCATCACGTCCGTCCCAGTATCTAAATAGGAAAGATTTGGAAATGAAATAATTTGAAAAGTGAAAATTATCTCATGGCTCCATCACGGATGGGTTCCATCACCCACTTCTGCCCATTCAGGATATCTCCAAAAGGACAAAAAAGACTTTTCAAGACATAGAAGTATGCATTTTTCAAGTTTTAAGTAACTCACTAGATGCCGCCCTAATTTCCTGTAAGGCTGCACAACAGGAAGTCCCAGGGGAGTTGTCCACCGCACTGGTTGGTTTTCTGATGCAATAATCTGGGGGAAAATCAAGTTACAAGGAAATTAAACATGCAACAGTAAATTAAAGGAGCAAATAGGAAACAGTAAACCCCCACGATAGTTCCACAGAAATGGAAATAGACACCTTTGCGCATTCACCCAGCCAGCTCATTATACTTCTTGCAGCTTCAAACATCTCCTCTAATGCGGTTAACGTCACCTAGTCACCAAAATTTGTAGAGTGCCAGTGAGATACGCAGTTAGCTCATGCTTCAAAAACGATTCAAAGTTATGTATGTTCTTCCTTACTTTAGCTGCATAGCATGAGGCACCAAAAGTCTGTGAATCATCTAGCTGAGTGCCTCGTTCTTTCAACCTTCTCATGATTTGATCTCTGGCACCAATGTAGGTAACACCATATACAGATGTCATCACTGTCTGCTTCACTAACTTCCGATCCACCTAGAATGTTTGCCATCAACCAGGGAGAAACATTAGCTTGAAAGGCAAATGAAAATCTTTTGCTCAACATAATGACTTAGTTCATCAAGCAAAAGACATTGGCCGCTAGTGTCGTTTGGAAGAGGCAACCAATTAGGAAATCCGTTCGAAGTGATGAGGAGACAGGACAAACAATTTCCCAAACATGGAGCAGAAAACAACTCAGTTTAGCGAAGGCAGTTCTGCAACAGTATTTCTCAATTGCTTGTGGGAAAGACAACCTGGTCAAGTAATGCCCTTGCTTGTAGCGCATCAGGAAAGCTCGTGGGATCTTTCTGTGCATCCTCCCGCATGATATCAAGAACTCTGCAATGACCAAATTACTTTCATCTTTTTTTTTTTGGTGGATCTATAAAGAAAACTCTTGCATAAAACCATCAGTTTCAAATTTCAGATGCACTGTCATTTGATCGGTCAAGATTAGCAGTGCCAGAAAATTTGTTAAATACAACAACCATTGCAGTCCAATTATTGGCATGACATTAGAAAAAGATTACCTTGCAGCTATACCAGAGTACACATCAGCTGGCTTTTCTCCTGCCATTAGATTAACAGCAGCTGCTCCTAGCTGAACAAAGTTGTCATGGATAATGTGAAGAATGAGCCATAAAAAGTGGAAGTTCCATAGCAAACTTAATTCATTGTATATATGCGGTTTCAGATTATGCATCTCCTAAGAAAAATGAGATAGCCAGCACCTTATCCCTTCCAAGTGCCGCATAATGTTGTAAACCATTGCACGAGCCATCCTACAGTCACGTTATGAACTTCACATTATTGAAATGAAGAAACAAACTTATAAAAGCATAGAAGGTACAAGAAATTAAAAAACATTACAAAATTACTGTTGACTATTTTGGCTAGATATAGTAATATTGTATAAATTAGTCCTGGGAAAGAGAAAGGAAAATTCTAGATCATAAGATTATGAAATTAAGTCTTCAATCCAAAGATTCTTTGGCTTTGCCATCTTCACCACAAAGCAAAAAAAAGATAGTCTTCAATCCAAAGATACTTTAGCTTTGCCATCTTCGCCACAAAGCAATACAAAGATGAGCACTTCTACTATGCTATATAGCATTGGTGCTTTAATGTACAACTCAAAGTTGTACCATAACATTAAATGTATAAGTTTAGGTTGTACCATGATGCAATTTGTACCATTATGTATGGTACAACTTTACAACTTGAAGTTGTACCATCACATAAAGGTACAAGTTCAAGTTGTACCATAAAAGAATTTGTACAAAAAGTATAGGTACAATCTAAAGTTGTACCATAACGTAAGTGTACAATTTTAAGTTGTACCATAAAGGCAAAAACCTATAGCACCAATACTATATAGCATTGTAAAATTTCTCTACAAAGATAAGATCTCCTACTCTGTCACTTATTCAGTAATCCTAAGTGTCAACTGGAAATATTTGCATGCTACAATGACAAGAACAAATTTCTTCAATCTAACTTCTTAAAACAAATATTCACTTCAGATCTCACAAAAGTTGGAATATGAAAGCCACCTCACTGAAACAATTCCAGTAGGACTTGAACTCTTTCAAAAGGAAGTTATTCACCCACCATAGTCATTTTCCAAAATCCACACAATGTTTTACAATTCAACAAATTACTTACAATCTCATAAACTATTCTTATATTATCACTAAATACTATAAATAGACATTACCATAATATATTGTATTCCACCAACTCAAAATTTTCTAAATTCTACAAAACTGAGAAAAAGTCACCTCTTTAGCAAAAGCTAAAACAAATAAGGCTAATATCCCGATGAAATACCTGATGGATGGGAAGATATGAAACATAGGTCTCCGAAGAGGAACTTCTCAAAGCTTCACTCAGATTAATACAAGCTGCCAAGCACTGGAATGGATCTTCTGCACGCAACCACCAGCGGTTTCCTTCTAGTGGCTTGTCCGCTGAATCAAATATTTCATCCAAATGATTCTCTGTAAAGCTTACTCGACCTTCATATGACAACTTATCCACACCACCAGCATACAGGTTTGCCAGGTGTATCTTCAGCCATCTCAAACCCACATTCCCAAGAGGACGGCCTTCTGCAAATTCCAAAATGCCTCGACACATATCTGAACCGAGGTGGTTCAAGTAAGGATGCATGGGGTACGCCCGTCCTCGAAAATCAACATTATGTGGATAATAGAAACCTTCTTCATCCTTCATTTTGCGTGCTACCTGAGAACAAATAACAGACATAATGAAGTAGTCACATTATGCTTAAATGGTACTGAAAACATGCAATCAGGTTGCTCTTACAGAAAGTTTAAGTTCTGTGTCACAACGGAGGGAATGCCTTTCCCGGTTCTCTTTTTTTGCATTTCTCAATTTCCATTTCCATTTCTTTAATAAAGTTTCATCTTCTGTATCAGGCTTCTCTGGTAAAGGAACCTGTGACGAACAAATTGGAGAAGAAATCTTCAGTGCACAGTAAATGTTTGACAATGGTTTCATTGACTGCACCAGTGGGATGAAACAGATTATCAGTAAAATCTTAACATGCAGCATACTCACATCATCTCGATCAACCAAATGAGCAAGACGACCTCCACTGTTCCATATTCTATCAACAACATCAAGAACCCTTTTATTTACTCTCCATTTAGTGCCCCCAAGTGTATCCAAGGCCTGAATTTCACCCAGAAATGATTATTAATATTACCTGATTGTACAGATCTCTAATAACATATAAAATCGAAACAGCATGCCAGTATACATGATTGTTCAAAAACCTCAAAGACTTGTTCTAGTTGTGCCTTTGATGCAATTTTCATTGCTTCACGTTGCTGTTTGGAACCATGAGTGCGCATGATGTAGGAAGGTAAGAAAAAATAAGCTCCCTTGTCATACCTGGCAAGAGAATACAGAATGCAATAAACCAAACCGAGACAAATGCATTGCATGGAAAGAATCTAAAATTTAAAGAGTATCATACGATACAAGCAACACTGATATGCTGCTTCAACTATAAAAGAACTAGGGAGCACACAATTTAACAAAGGATCTTAAAGGGTTCCTGCCACTTCCTCAGAAACCAATTATGGACCACAAAGATAAAGGGGGCCTGAACTTCTACCACAAACTGGGAACTGTAAACACCAGAGTTACTGTAAACTGTCTGGGTTGGTACAAATGAACAATACATGAATGAAAGTCGAATACGCTGTAATTGTCTTTCCTCAACCACCCTACATCCCTTCTTTACAAGTGAAAGGTCAAGGTAGAAGGTTCAGACTTTGGCGTACCTAAACTCCAAAAGATATAAACAAGTTTTATTTTGTAAAATCGAGAATAAAATCTTTTCTATTGCTTGTGCCTTTACCAGAAGATATTTCTCATGGCTACTGAAATCTAACTATAATCCTCTCATTGAAATCTAACTAGGCCCATTTGTGTTTCTTGTACATTGCACAACTGAAATCAGTGATAGATGTATGACGTATCAGCGAACTAGTTAGTGTCATCCTTTTGTGCTTTAACTTATGCCCCTAGTGATAATTTTGTTAAAGCAAATCGCTGCTTATCGGGTTCAGGTTCAAACTTCAAAAAGATAACACTCTAGGTATGAGTGGCATGAACTATGTTTAATTGCGAACAGAACCAGATAACATATCGTCAGAGCAGCAGGGTCATGACGGCATAGAACATCACTTACCCCATCCATTTGACAGGTGGCACCAACATTGGCATGTAAGGTATCACCATGTGCCTTGCCTGTGAACACATACAAATTTTACCAACTATCCCGCAAGGAAAACAATTTCATCTACTCCAGGAGTGGTTTCAGACAACAGCCAAGAATACGTAGCACCCACATATTACCAAAGAGAAAGAAAATGAAAGACAGATGCATGACTCACACTTCTCTCAAGCCCTTTAAGAACCACTGGATCACATTTAATGACACCATATCTTCTACTTGTCTTCCTATTGAACCAAGGCATAAAAGCACGGTTAATTATAAAAAGGAAGGATATAATATACACCCATTAAAGGCAAGATAAAAAAGTATGAGAACATACTTGTCCGCCTTGGTGATACATAGGACAGTATGTATAAATGCAGGCCGAATATCAGGAGGACCTTCGCATAATTGATCCGCAGGAGGTTGAATATATGCAGAATGTATGAGTAATTCAATTAGGCGGCTCCCAACCTACAATGTAGTTGAGGAAGGTATAAGACAGCGCTCTATCATGTATGAATAAGAAAGAAACAGAAATGCATTGCACCATGGATAAGAAGATAACAGACTTTAGCCTTAGCTTCCTGGCTCCAAGGTCTAGATTCATCATAACCCTTCACAATTCGTCTAACAGCTGGCAATTTTTGTTTCCTAATCAATTCAGTAACTTTTCTTCTCAACTTCTCTTGCTCCTTCTCCACCACGCCAGATTCATCCCCTTCACTTTTCTCAACTTTGGCATCCTTCTTCTTCTTTGTTTTCTCCAAGAAGTTGTGTATCCTGATCTGCCTCGTAATAAAAAAGGAGGCTTTCATGAAATAACCCAAGAAAGTTCCAACTATAAAACAGCATATCAAATGAAGAACCAATTTTTACAATCACCCACCTCCTGTTCAATGGCATCTCCAATCGTAATAGCAGCAGGAACAACCCTAGCTGATCCATGCTCCCCAACTGTCATCATAAGGCCTACAAGCTTATGCATTGTGATAACACAAGTCATGTCAGCAGGCAAGTGATTAAAGTATGGGGCATAGGCTGCCCTGCATTTCCCTTGTCTAATTAACTCCTGCTCTTTGTGAATTGCATCCCTTAAGGGCTCGAACCAACCAAGGAACAAACTTTTCATGTAAGGCAAATTAGGAGCCAACTTTTGCTCACACATCTCCTTGAGAAGCTCCCTGTACTCATTAGCTGCCCTTTCCCACGCTTTAGTCTCAATCTTAACCTGCCTTCTCTTCAACATCTCATACTTCCTCCATCCCATTCCAGGCGCTATCCGTTCCCATCTCTTCCTCGCAGTTTCCTTCCGCTGTTCCTTCCTCAATTCCTGAACCAACTCTTGCACTTCTTCCGTGAAAGAAACATCCTCTTCTAAATCCGTCTGCGACGAAACTGCCTCTGCTACGCTCGCATAGCTTCTCGGGCAAAACCCACCACAGGAAAACCCTCTCGGCAACGAAGGGACGCATCTCGGGCCACTATCGTTATCCTTGCGCGTAATTTCACCTCTGGTACACAAACCCAGGTGGGGATTCAAGACATTTATCGGATAAAGTTTGGGTTTTTCAGAAAAATTCTGGCCCAGGGAGAGGACTTGGAAGCTGCAGGCATTTGAGAAAGAAGATAATGAAGCCGACGAACTCAATGCCCTTCTGTGGGTTTTGCAGATGGCTTGTTTGGCACCGTTTCTCCACATAACTGTGGGGGACATAGGCGGGGATGAAGAGAGAACTGACGGCGTTGTATTGAAGAAGATGAAGTGATCGATTTCTCTTAAAGAGAGAAAGGGGGGTTTAGTATTGGACATCAAAGAAGCTGGAGAAGGTAGAATGCAATTCAAAGGGATAGAAGACGGAAGGAGATGGAGAGGGGGAAGAGATTGAGAAGAAGTGTAGTGATGAGGAGTTCATGGAGATTGGAGTGGACAGCAGCCGACTTAAAACCCTTCCCTAAACCTTACCTTCCCAATCATCCACTTTGTTTCTTTCTGGTAATCTCCTTTGGCTAAGTTTGATTAGTTGGTCTGGGGTTGCAGGCGAGGCGGTACCAGTAGGGATGGCAACCAAACCCGAACCCACGGGTACCCACCCGACCCAACCCGGTCAACGCGGGTAAAATCCGTGTTGACGGGTTTTGGGTCGGGTTTGGGTTTAAACCCGTTCACTATTCACCGGGTTGGGTTGGGTTTGGGTTTAGGTGAACCCGACCCGTGGGTACCCGCCCACACATATAATTAATTTTCTCGGTATATTTAATATTTTAAACAACTAATCTTATTTATGTTTGTGGAGACATGTCTAATTTTTTCTTTCTAATTGTGTAGAATGAAGTTTGTGTTATCGAATGGAGAATGAAGAAACTTAATTGAAAGGAAGAAGCCTTCAATTAATATGTTATTTATGGATAATTTATGATTTACTTCAATTTTCTTGAGTTTTCTAGATTGGTGTTGAACAATTTGTATAGTTAATTTGTGATTTGCTTGAATTTTCTAGAATGGTGTTTTAAATATGGATAATTTGTATTGAGAGATTGATATTTGACTTTAATTTTGACAGGAACATGTTATTGTAAAATTTTTACGACAAAAACCCGTGGGTACCCATGAACCCGCGGATACCCAGCGGGTTGGGTTGGGTTTGAGTTTTTCAAACCCAGTGGGTTTTACCCCGGGTTTTTTTCACGGATAAACCCATGGGTTTGGGTTTGGGTTTGGCAAAACCCGACCCAACCCGACCCATTGCCATCCCTAGGTACCAGGGGAGTAAAAACTAAAAAATAAAAAATTTACAAGTGCGCTATTAGTCATTGGACTTTCTGTATGTCCCACAATTGGTCGCTGAATTTTATAAAAGGTGCAAACTAGCCACTAAACTTTACTAATGCATATGGATTGTTCTTTTTGTTCTCCTTCAACCCAACCATGGGTTCCTTACCTAATCCCATGAATAATGGTAACAATATGAGTTAATTAGTTTAGGATAGGATATGGGTTCTATTGAGTTTGAATTGTTGATCATAAAATTGGATAAAAGGTTTGGTTAACATTCACATTTCACACTAGTTAGTAGCTTTATATGTAATTGAAATAGAATTATTTTACTTTTTCTTTACACATACATCCAACCTATTTAGTGTCGTTTAATAGTTCAAGGAAACAAGCATTAGTGACACTCTCCACCTGTGAAGTCGATTATCTGGATTATCTACTAATAAGAGTACTATTAAGATAAGCCTCTGACATCACTACATCATTACTCGATATCAAAAGAGTAAAGTAGGTTAGTTTTGACTATCATATTAGGGGAAATTTCAAACTCTCTTATACTCAAAACCTTGGAGTTGGGGAGAGGGGGAAACCTCTTAGATATAAAAAGTGGGAACTAAGAGAGTAAAGTTGAGAAAAACTTATAGGGTTAATTGTATGGCTGGTCACTGAGATTACAAAAAACGTCAAGTTTGGTCACTCAAAATATTTAAATTCATTTGTGGTACTTCAATTTACTGAAACCGTTCATGTTTGGTCACTGTCCGTCCAACTCCGTTAACTTTTGCTGATATGGCAGTCAACTCTCAAAGTTGACCGTTAACTTAGTGACGTGGCAACTAAAAAATTATTAAAAATATAAAAAAACTTTTATATTTTCCACCTCATTATTACATTCATTAAAAATTAAAAAAATTAAAAAACCTAATTTCTTCCACCTACTCCAGACCCTTCACCTCCCGCCGGCGGCTCCCATCGCCGCCACCAAGCCCACCGCCGATCCACGTCAAGTTCGACACAACCCGCCGCTAGCATCTCCGGTACCTCAAATCCATAGGGGTAGTCCACCCAAACCCACAACTCCACAAGCTCCCATCTCCCGATTCCACCTCCAAAATCATCTCCATCGTCGACTTCTTCAAATCCATGGGCTTCTCCAACGCCGACTTCCCCCGCCTCGCCTCCATCGGCCCCGAGCTCTTCTCCCCCAAATTCGACGTCTCCTACATCGAGCCCGTCTTCCAATTTCTCACCTCCGACCTTGGAGCTTCCCCTGAACAGTCTCGGGGTCTGATCACCTGATGCCCCGACATTCTCTTCTCCGCTGCGGAGCACTGTCTCCGGCCGACGCAGGACTACCTCAGGCGGGAAGCAAGTCTCGTTTTCTAAAAATAAAGAAATTAGGTTTTTTATTTTTTTTTTATTTTTTAATGAATGTAATAATGAGGTGGAAAATATAATTTTTTAGTTGCCACGTCACTAAGTTAACGGTCAACTTTGAGAGTTGACTGCCACATCAGCAAAAGTTAATGGAGTTGGACGGACAGTGACCAACATGAACGGTTTCAGTAAACTGAAGTACCACCAATGGATTTAAATATTTCGAGTGACCAAACATGAACGTTTTTTGTAATCTCAGTGACCAACCATGTAATTAACCCAAAACTTATAACTAAAAATCACGTTGAAGCATATGAAAGATAGTATTAGCAACATTATTGTTTGATGGGAGAGATAAAGTCGCCATCCTTCTCAATCCATCTTCACCAGTTGGATGATGATGATCATTACTACGATAATCATCTACTTTCTGGCTATTGTGTGTATGATGACGCTTACGAACTACTCCAATACTCTCATCGGCCTCTGCCACGTCTAGCCTATCCATATTATTGTTAATCATAATTGGCATTGTTGCTGTTGCCACTGGATTCTGTGCTCTCTTTCTCCAACTTTCCACCTTCTTCTTTAGACCATAACTTTCTCCTTCCTGCATATATTAGCTCAGTTAAAACAATATACAACAAATTAAACAATGGCAGAAGGGGACAATTTTGATTTAATCTATCGATTAATTATTCAAAATGTCTTATCTATTAATATGTGTATAAAGTGGTTGTGCAAGTTTTGTTTCTTCCAAAACGGTATAACAACATAATTTTAAAATGTTGCGACAAAATGATCGCTTTCATTAATCTCCATCCAAAAGTTAACCAACCAGTTTGCAAAGTATAGTATTCAAATGATCGATCTACTTACCATTATTATCAATGTTGGCTGATTCAATAATAAAAAAAAGTTATAGGTGTATTATGTCCCTCTACTATGATGTTTTATCAAACATGTCTCTTTACTATTTTTTACATCAAACATGTCCATGTATATATGTACGAGTATATAATTGTTATGGCTTACTCGAGGAAGAAGAGAAGAGGTAGGAATTGGGCATATGACAGGACGGTCTTCCTCCATTGGCTCCATCGGGTGTTCCACCGGCCACACTTCTTCTTCTTCTTCTTCTTCTTCTTCTTCTAAATCCCCATTGCTGCCCTTCACCTCCTTCACTAATTGGCACATCATCGTTCCTTCCTCCTCCACCTGACTTCTCCCCAAAGTACTCATTGCAGAGAGTGAATCACTACTGAACTGAACTCTCAGTAGAGAGAGAGAGAGAGAGAGAGAGAGAGAGAGAAAGAGAGAGAGAGAGAGAGAGAGAGAGCTCCAATAGGGGAAAAGATTGTGTGAAAGACTGAAAGCAGCAATAGGAGGATAAAGAGATGTGGGAGGCATGAAAAGATGAACCCTATAAAGAAAGAAAAGAAAAGGAAAGGAAGAGTAATGTGGGATCGACCCTCCCTCCCTATACAGTGAAAGTTGAATGAGGGACATTTCATACTTTCCAATTTCCACCCCCTATTTTCGGTGCTCTTTTCCTTCTTTTCTAATGTACTTTGGTAAATTTTTCTAAGGGAACTTTTATCTATTCTGAGTTATCCGCCCTAATCGGTTTATGATGTGGTATTGAAATATTTGATTGAGATATCTTGTTGAAATGTGTTGAGTTCGTTAAGAAACATATATAAGTTTTACTTTTACAAGGTATGTATTTGATTTTGTTATCATTTTCTGTTTATTTCATGTAAGAGAATATTTCTATATACACAGTGTGTGGGATCCCTATATAATATGAAATATATGTTCTATCTTCAAAAATAGTGAAACATTTTCTTCGTCACTTGTAGCAGCTAGTACATATTGTGTTACTGAACTATGTAACTCTTCCTCCCTGTTTTCTTAACGCTTCCTTTATAAAATGTCTTTATAATCGTCGACTTTTAAAGTTGTTAAGAAATTAACATTTGATTTGAACATAAGATATATTGGACCTGTGCAAACTCCAAAAGTTAAGTTGTTATAGATTGATTTTGATTTAAGATAAAGAAGAGAATATCATCAAATTTATATACTTGGATCTCTCTCAAAAGAAAACATGGGAAAGTAAAGGGCATTATTTGAATGCTATCGCTGCCCGCTAGCACATATGAGGAAATGATCAAAAGAGCGATTCTTTTAAACTCGACGATTGATAAAATCAATTCTTTTGATTTCAAAAGTTAACGAAACAACGAGTTCTTGATAATCTAACGACATGATCATGTCACAATATTTTCTTATAATTCCATCAAATTAAAGATGGACCAGGGAGAAAAAGATTGAGGAAAGAAACAAAAATGATTTGGTTCAGCCAAAATGTACATCATTCATTAATCAATGATGAATTAAGCTGAATATCTCTTCGATCGGTTGCAGCACTGGCCTGGCAACTAATAATAATAATTAATCAAACCGATTTAATCAGAAACTAATCAAATCAGGAAGCTCATCTTGTTTATACACTTGAAGCTGGTGTTGTTCATGAATAGGCGTGGGCAGAGTCGATAGCAGATCCATCAGCTGATCGTCCGGCATCTCAAATGGGTTCGTCGGCGGCGACGACACAACATCACATATCGATAACAAATCACCGTAAGTACCGACGGAATCTCGATCATTATCATCATCAAACACCTCCCATTCGTCCGTTATCACCGTCTGCAACCTCCCACTAGCAGTAATATTGCTCACGTTCTTCTTCACTTCACCATCATCATCTCCCATTGCAGCTTTTTTATAGCGCTTTTCGTGACACGGGACTCCGGCGCCGGCGTCGGAGGTAGCTTTGTAGTAATCCCCTCCTTTCTTTGCCACCATCTCTTCCAGCTCTGAAACGCCACTCGCCATGTGTTCCAACACCTGTTCGAGTATAGTAAAGTATAGCATGAATGGTATCTAGTATATACGTGGGAATGACTGTAAAAAAATCAGTTGGTTCTAAACTTCTAATAATTCGACTTGTTGGAACAAGTTTAGTTATGAATATATCACTTATACTAACATGTCCCTCAAACAAGAGCCATCATAGACAGGTTTCAAATTAGCACAGGTCCCATCAGTGATGGAGTCAGGAATCTGAATGATGTGGGCTGATTTGAACCATGATAATTGGACTATGGGCTAAAGCCTTATCGACTATATTATTTCCTAAATTTTACATGTGATTTTACCTATATTTCAAATTTGAGTGGGGGTAGCCCCTCGTAGTTTCAATTTAACTCCTCCAATGGTCCAGATACCATGTGCTTAACAGAAGAGATGTGCCTCATAGGAATTCGAACAAAAGACCTCTCGATCAATCACAAAAGACTATGTACGATACCATGTCAGGAACTAGATGACCCCAATAACTCGAGTTGTTGAAAGAAGTTCAATTATAGATCATATACCACTTACTATCATATGATCCATAATTAAACTTCTCTTAACAACTCGAGGTATTGGGACCAATTTATTCTTAACATGGTATTATGTACAGTCTTTTGCGATTGAGAATCTTCTGTTCGAATCGTGTTGAACTCATTTGTTTAGCACATGATATGTGAACGACATGCATTGTTGACTAATCCTCGTAGTGGAGTCTAGGTGATAATTAAGATAGGTCATAATATATATTGCACGAAGATTTAATTATGAACATCACCTTGATGTCTTCCTCTGGGATTGGAGTCACCTTGGGGACCTCCATGGCGCTGAAAACTCCGAAGGCGCGGCAGAACTCGAAGTAGAGAACCAGGTTCTTGCCCTGAACCCTGGCCTTCTGAAGCAGCCGAAGGGCCATGGTGGACTCGGCCTTTCCGGCCAAGTGGACCTCCATCAGGACCCGAGAAACCCCGCTGCAGATGTTGCTGTAGAGGTCGAAGATCTCGACGATGACGCAGTCCATGGCTTCCATTATCAGAGCGTTTCGCTTCATGTTGTCGGCTAGTGGCTTGATTTGGAGGAGAAGGTCCAGCAGTTTCTGCCACTTCTGCAGCTTCTGGATCTCTTGCCACAGTTCCACCTTTGTGATCATCATCATGACACCATGATCATCATGGTAATTGTCCTCGTCGGTAGCTCCAGGAGGAGGAGTAGTCATGGCCGTTTTTTTGGACGACATCCTTCTGCACTTGTGGTTTGTGCTACAATGCAATTGAAAGCAAAACACAAAAAGGTTTAGATTCTTCCATATGAAAAATAAACTTTAAGTGGATGAATTTATATTTTTGTTAGGAGTAAAAGTATATATATATATATGGTGGCTTCTATCGTACTTTGGATAAACCTACGGTACGACATACTTTGAGTACAAAAATGTTATCTAGACCACGAATTAACCGGATTTTGGGGCATGATATACTATATCCTAACTCTTGATGAGTGAACAATAGGTCTTAGTTATTTAAATCATAGAGCCTAACCCCTAGATTTTGCCTATATTTCAACGAATCATGACCGTTGATTTTCGTTTATAATTAAATTGATCTTAGTGTATGAAATTTATAGAATTAAGATCTATATTTTAATCTCAAGGGTTTGTGAATAGTATCATAATATGCCAAACGCCGATGAATTCGATGTTTAGATATCATTTTCTTACTCAATGTATGTCATACGTTGGATTTTACCCAAGTATACGATAAAACCATCCATATATGGTGACTTCCATCGTACATCACGAAAAAACTGATATCTGTCATACACCAGATAATCTCCATCGTTACGTGTTCATCTCAACGATCAGCAAGTTGATAATGATGGAGTTTACGTTATCATAAAAATGAATATAATCTGCAAATTAAGGCTCTTTTTCTTATGATTTGTACCTGAATGTGGGATACAAGAGGGAGGATCTCCGATCCAAGAACGTGAAGTAGGACCTAACAAACGTGTTGTACCCCCACACCTTCGTCGGATGGGAATGCCCGTCGGCGAAACCGGACAGATCGAACGGCAACCGGCCGATCCGGTGAACCGCCGGCGTGTTACAACAAAATATTCCATGCATCAACATGAGACCCTTTAAAGCCACGACCCAACTCTGCGTCCTCTCCATCCTCACGCTGAGTCCCCATACCAGCGGCTTCAGGCTCACCGGCGACGTCCTTATCCACTCGAACACGCGCTGCGCGTTGCGGTAGTCGACGCTGTCGCCGTCGTGGCTGGTGGCCTTGATGATCGCCGCCTCCAGGCTGCCGTCCCGGGAAGAGCTCCGAGGGGTCAGGAAGCTTGCTAGGAGGATGCTGTTCTGGTCCTTCACGGCACCGGCAGCTTTCCTCCATAGCTTCATTTCCTTTCCTTTTTTTTTTGGGCGCTTCTTCTTCTTCCCGGCCCCGGCGCCGGCGATATCTGGGTGCTTTGTTTTTTTTGCTGGGGGTATGAATTTGTTTTCCCTTTTTTTTCCCCAGCAATTTTTGGGTGCCAAATGGGCTGGTTCCCCGTTTTGAGCTTCTTTTTTTTTCCCTGCCGGGGGTTTGGTTATTATTAGTTTGTATTGTTTTTCTTTTTTTTAGTAGGGTGTGGGAGTTGATTATTATTTGATTGGTTTTTGTAATTAATTAGTTTTAGTGCTATTAGGTGGGTGACGTTGGATTAACCAGAAATTAACAGTCGACCATTCCCGTAACACTAGATTGTAGACATGTGGGGATATGTTGGTAATAAGAACATATATTGTGTTTTGCTTAACCATTTCCTTCAAATGCAAATACATTATGTTTTGCTTGATTTCGTTAAATCATAATACGAACGAATTTAAACTTTGAAAGCATAGATTTTACTATTTTTCACATTTCAATCTTTACGGGTTTATCTCTATTTAATACAATACTCGTCTTCATCATTAATTGGCATATACATTTTCAGATAATCCGTTGTGAAGCACGGACCAATTATTTAATTAGTATTATTTGTGGAGGGGACAATACGGGAACGGATCAGGTCAATAATCTTATGGTGAGTAACCATGAGTAACTCGTTCACATTAACATGACATCAACATCCCTCTCTCTCTTGGAAGTCTTTAATTTTCTCATCCTTAACCTTTGACAGACAATTTCTCACTCGTTTTAAGTTGAAATTTAATTTTTTTGCACGGTTAGATCAGATTAATTGTGCTCTTCAAAATGATATCCACTTTGATATATTTTTGGAACAAAAAAAATTGAGCCATTTTTTACCAGTCTATACCATATGGTATTGACTGGTATTGAAATAAGAGCATACATATGGTTTGAAAAGCGTATCATGGTGGTATGAACAAACCAAGACTGTAGGATGGTTCAACATGATAGTAGAAGTATATTAACTGTCATTTACGACTTTTAAAATTGTGTACCACAAGATACCACCCCGTACCAGGGTGGTATTTTGTGGTATTTTTTTGTCCTGTAATTTGTTCACGCATAAATTTGTAGATCCAATAGATCATGATGAACTCGTTCATTCTGGCAAACGTTTTAAAAAACGAATTAAAAACGAAGAAGATACCATATGGTATGCAGTTGGTACCGAGAGGCAAGAATATTTTTTCTCAAAAAATATTGAAAATGTATCTCATTTTTTAGAGCACAGCGAACTCGTTCCATCTGTGGAAAAAAAATCCAAGTTAAAACGAAGAAGATATGAGCCGATTAAGAAAACAAGAAAAAATAAAAATGGCCTTTAATTCTTCATCCTTAAATCTGGATTTTACAAATGAAGGGTCCAGATTTAGTTATTGATGAGTGCATAACCCATGGTTATTCACCCTATTTTAAGCCGGGACAATACTACCTTAGTTGGTGATACCATTTTGGCCTTGCCCACAACTTCTCTACTTCCTCATCATTGGGACAATGATTTGTCATATAAATTATATAAGAATCTTTTTAATTTGTATTAGGAAAAGGTTCTGATGAGTTAAATTTACATAATAATTTAATCAAATATGAGACTTATCCTAATTTCATTCTATTATTAGACTACACATTATATAAGATTTATTAGATTTATGTAACACCATTCTATAACAATTATATAAATTAAAAATACATCACATAAAATTATAGAAGTATCTTACTCGTTTTTTTTTTTTTGAATTATTTAATTTCAACTAAATCATTAAATGAGGGATGAGCTCTTAAATATAATTAGTTTTGTATCGCCGTGAAGTGTGTATACCTAATTTTACCATAAGCTTCTATTATAGTAAGTTGTTAAGGTAATTTTTTTTCCATCTTCTACACCTAATTTCACTATAAACTCTTTTCACATGTAGTCAACTTTCTGTACTTTTTCATTTCACATTATAGAAGATTTATGAATTACAAATCGATTATGTAAATTTTCATTAAATTTAATGCTTTTCATGACTTAATTTTATTATTAGACCTCACATTATAGGAAGATTTGCATAACACTATTCTATAACAATTATGCAGATTACAATCAATTACGTAAAGCTTAAGGGATAGTTAGTTTTTATGTATCAATTAAGCATAATGTATTACATAAATCTTCTGTAATGAGAAAGAAACTACATAAAGCTTATGAAGGGATCATAATTTCTTATGTATCAATTAAATAAATGTAATATGTAAGTTTTTCATAATATAGTTTGAATGGAATTTTCTAAATTTTAAATATGTAAGTTTTTCATAATATAGTTTGAATGGAATTTTCTAAATTTTAAATAAACTGTTGACCATCTCATCAACTTGCATTACACAAAATTTGTGTAAGGTCAGTTAGTTTTACATTACAGTTTAATGAAATGAGATACTTTTCCTAACTTAATTCACTCATTATTAAATAAATTTCTTTGGTATTACCTATAATATTCAATATTTAGTCAATTTGGATTTTGCAAAAGTTTGCATAGATAAATTAAATTTACATAATGTTTTAATCAAATATGAGACTTATGCTAACTTCATTTTATTATTAGGTCATGCATTACATAAGATTTATGTAACATCGTTCTATAACAATTATATAAATTAAAAATACATTACATAAACATTATTAAGTAATAGTTATTCTATATATATCGATTAAACAAATGTATTACTTAAGTCTCCCGTAATAATAAGACAATAAAACGTTAAGTAAAGTTTAAGGAAGCATCTTATCCGAACACTTTTTATAGTTAATTGATTGCAACTAAATCATTAATTAAGTGGATAAAACTTTACATCGGGTCGTTTGAATGCAGTATTTTGATGAGGTAATTTGGTCGAAATAACTCAGAATGAGGTATTTCAATTAAAATAACTCGTTTGGCCAAAATAAAGTAGAATGTGGTATTTTGTCCATGAGTCAATTGAAATAACTCATTGTGAGTTATTTGAAATACCTACCCACCCCCTAGTTATTTCAAATACCTCATCTCCCAACTTCTTTTTCCACTTCATCTCTTCTTTAAGTGGTGAAATACCACAATATTTGAATGTTTTATCCAAACAAGACAATTATACCAATTACCACATTTCAAAATAAAATACCACATAGCAAAATAATGCATCATTTGGATTCGAAATACCATAGAACCAAAATGATGCATCTAAACGACCCGCTAATTAGTTTCTACCGCAGCCTAGTACAAAAAAACCTAGTTGTGCACTTGTTTTCCCCCAATCAGTCATTATTTCTGCTCAACTTGCTTTCTAAGTGGAAACTGCATGCTGGGGGAAATTAAAGGTACGTTCAACGCCAAGCCATTATTACATGCACTTATGCAGTTCTTCTTCTTGTAAGGGTAAGGAAGTTGCATCTGTAGTAACGTACGTAACCTTCTTACAAATCACTTACTTTCTTTATCGTTCAAAAACAGATCAAAATTAAATCCTTAATTGCATCTACGTACTGTTGGAGAATGGAAAGTCGGAAATCACTCAAAGGAAATCAAGCCAGCTGCACAAATTTCCTAATCTGCAAAGATTACCTTTCTTGAAGAAATTCAAGTGCAACGGTCGGCCAACAAGGGGTATTTATACCCTTTCATGAAGAACAGAGTCGATGCTTTTGCAAGAAGTGGTATAGGGCTGATTGCATAGTGGGTTAATCACTACAGAGGCACAGGATCTGTTTGATTAACGGTGTAACGAGTCTGGGATTGGGATCCGGGTGTTTTTACGTTTTTGTTCGTTTTGTTGTTCTTGAGTCTGTTAGTTTTTATCCATTTGCTTGATATGTTAAATCAATAAAAATCAGAGTCTCCTAGAACTCAGTGAAGTACTGAGTCTAGGACGAGGACCCGGTAGATTGGGGAACCTCGTTAAAATCGGTTGTGTTGTTGTTTCTTGCTGTGTTTCTCTGTTTCTGTTTCTCCCTCTGTTTTTCCAGGTTCTGCATCTGCCTAACACTGGCTTCGTCATAAGGAAGAAGACGAACTCAGTTGGCCGGGCTGTGGGCCTAGTCTCGAACAGGCCTTAGCCCAAGTTTGGTTTTAAGTTTTTTTATCCCTCTTTGGGCTTGGGTGCTCCTTGAGCCCATTCGAACGCCTTCAACAGAGAGTGAAAGAGATTCATCGTCTCTATCGACTTTCAGTCTCATTTCCCCCAAATCCTTTCTAACCCTAAATTCGATTTTTCATTCTTCCACTGATTAACAGGTGGTATCAGAGCCTGCCCTTGAAGAAGCTCACTCCTGCCAAGGTTCCGATCCAATGGCGACCAGCTCGTTTGGGAAGGCGGCTCTTAATCATCCGCCGATTTTCAACGGAGCAAATTATACGGCTTGGAAGAAGAGAATAAAGAATTTATGTGGGGAATCGATGAGGAGCTTTGGCTCATCGTGCAAAATGGTCCGATTGAAATGGATCTGGCCGAGCAACATCTGTGGTCTGCAGCTCAGAAGAAGAGTGCGCAGCTAAACCAACGCGCCATGCATGTCCTCCAATCGGCGATGACCTCTGAAGAAGCTGATCAGGTTGAAAATTGTGATTCCGCTCAAAAAATTTGGATCGCCCTTCAAAGTACATACGAAGGTACTTCTAATATTCGTGAATCTCGTATTGATTTACTAGTCCATGAGTATGAGGCGTTTTCTATGCTTAATAATGAGTCAATCCATGAAATGTATTCTAGATTCACTACTCTCATCAACAAACTTAAAGGCTTAGGTCGTACGTTTCAGCCTAAGGATCTAAATCGTAAGATCCTTCGTTCTTTACCTAAAGAATGGCTACCTAAACGTACTGCTATAGAAGAAGCAAAAAATTTGACTACCTTGCCTATAAATGAGTTAATAGGGTCTCTTCTCAGTCACGAGAATGTTATTAAACAAGTTTCACATGATGATGAAAAACGGAAGAAAACTCTGGCCTTTAAGTCTAATACTATTGATTATGAGTCTGAAGATGAATTTGTGAGTGATTTTGATAGGGAATTTTCCCTTGTTAGCAAGAGATTTCATCGCATGCTTAAGTACAAAAATGATCAAAAACGTCGTCAGGATGATTCTAGATTTGTTTCTACTGATCGTTACAAAGTTGTTTCTCAAGATAGGCTGCCTAATCAGCAGACCAGAGTTTTAGAAACAGGTCAATCAGAGCGAGAAGCTCAAGCATGCTATAAATGTGGTAAGTTCGGCAACATCAGAGCTCACTGTCCACAGACTTTGAAGGCAAAAGAGCGAGCAATGAAAGCTACTTGGAGCGACTATGAATCAGAACCAGACGAGGAACAAGAAGATAATCTGGCATTTATGGCCTTCAGCAATGATCTGGACCTGCAAATTGAAATGGCTTCACAGGATAATGAACCAGGTAGCACTAAATCAAATCAGTTATGATATCTTGATAGCGGGTGTTCCCACCATATGTTTGGTAAGAAAGAACTTTTCTCTACTCTTCAGATCAAACGTGGGGGAAATGTTGTTTTTGGTGATGACAGTTTCGGCACTATTGTTGGAACAGGAACCATAGGAAAACATCCCCTACCTGTGATAAATAATGTGCTTCTTGTAGAAGGACTCAAACATAATCTACTTTCAATCAGCCAGCTGTGTAGTAGTGGAAACAAAGTCAGTTTTGAGTCTTCTCGTTGCATAGTTGAACGTATAAGTGATGGATTAATTCTGTTTGTCGGGTCTAGGCATAATAATATGTACATCATTAATCTCCAAGACCTTGATGCCTTTAATGAATACTGTTTTGCTGTCTCTTTTCAACAAGAACTCCTGTGGCATCGAAAACTTGGCCATATCAGTTTGTCTAAACTGTCTATGTTATCCAAACTAAACCTTGCCAGAGGAATTCCATTACTCAGAGATAAAGCAATTTTTTTTTGTGAAACGTGTATTTCTGGAAAACAGACCCGAAAATCATTCAAATCTAAGACTGACATAACCTCTTCAGCGGTGTTCGAACTGATTCACATGGATGTCTTCGGACCTTGCAATGTCACTAGTCTTGGAGGAAAACACTATGTGTTTGTTCTGGTCGATGATTATTCCAGATTTACATGGGTTTATTTTCTAGCTCATAAGGCTGAAACGTTTGCTAAATTTAAAACTTTTGCCTTGTTGCATGCTGGTCAACTCAAGTCAGTGAAAAGTGATAATGGGGGGGAGTTCATTGTGGATGAATTTGAAACTTTCTGCAATGATACTGGGATCTCACATATCTTTTCTGCACCTCGCACTCCTCAACAGAATGGAGTTGTTGAGCGAAAAAATCGTACCATTATCGAGTGTGCTCGTACTCTGCTATTAGAATATAATTTGCCTAAATATTTCTGGGCAGAGGCAGTTAGCACTGCATGCCATGTTATAAATCGAGTTATTATTAGGAAAACTCTTAATAAAACTCCCTATGAGCTTCTCAAAACAAGCCTCCTAATATTTCTTATTTTCACCCCTTTGGTTGTCCTTGTTATGTTTTGAATACTCGTGATCAGCTGGGAAAATTTGATTCTAAATCAGATTTAGCCATTTTTTTGGGATATTTAGTTCGTGGTCAAGCTTTTCGAGTTTATAATAAACGTACTCAGAAGGTTGAAGAATCTGTTCACGTTAGGTTTAATGAGATGACCTCTCCTGCAGATTCATCCTCTATTTCTTTATCCTTTGATCTGTCTGAACTGTCTAATAGCTCAGAGAAAGCCTCCGAAGATGCAGCTCCTGTTCAGACTGATACACTTGAAGATAATGAAAAGCAGGCTCCTGCAGTAACCAACAGTAAAGAGGCTCCTGCTTCAATTCCTACTGCTCCACCACACATCCAGAAAAGGCACCCTACTGCACAAGTTATTGGTGAGATCACTGATGGTCTAAAAACCAGAGGAAAATATGTCCCAGGTCAGTATGCCTATGTCTCTCAAGTTGAACCAAAAAATTATAGAGATGCTCTTAATATTGAAGAATCGGTATTTGCCATGATTGAAGAATTAACTCAGTTTGAGCACCTACATGTTTGGGATTTAGTTCCTCGCCCTTTGAATGTAACTATTATTGGAACTAAATGGATTTTTCGAAACAAATCGGATGAATTAGGCATAATTATACGCAACAAAGCTAGATTAGTAGCACAAGGCTACTGTCAGGAAGAAGGAATTGACTATGACGAGACATTTGCACCTGTTGCACGTCTCGAGTCTATTCGGCTTCTTTGTGCTTTTGCTTCATACATGGGATTTCCTTTATTTCAAATGGACGTCAAGAGTGCGTTCTTGAATGGAGTTATAGAAGAGGATGTATATGTTGCTCAACCACCTGGTTTCATAGATCATAGGTATCTTGATCATGTTTTTAAGTTAAACAAAGCACTTTATGGACTTAAGCAAGCTCCTCGGGCTTGGTATGATCGGTTGACATCTTTTCTTCACGATCAGAAGTTTGTCCAAGGTTCAGTTGATAAGACTTTGTTTATTAAACATGAATCGAGTGATCTACTTCTTGTCCAAATCTATGTTGATGACATAGTGTTCGGGTCAACTAATACTCAGATGTGCTCTTCCTTTTGTGAGTCTATGAAAAGTGTTTTCGAAATGAGCCTCATGGGAGAGCTCAAATACTTTCTTGGCTTACAAATTAAACAAACTCCCCATGGTACCTTCATTAGTCAATCTAAGTATGTGTCCACTATGCTTCAAAGGTTTGACATGACTGCTTTGAATGCTTGCCCAACTCCTATGGCAACTAATGTCAAACTTGATTTAGATGAAACTGGTGAATTGGTTGATGAGTCTAAATATTGTGGCATGATAGGTTCTTTGCTCTATTTAACGGCTAGCCGCCCTGATATTCAATTTGCTGTGTGTCTTTGTGCTCGCTTTCAGTCTCAACCGAAACAAAGTCATCTGACAGCAGTAAAACGTATTTTTCGATACCTAAAAGGCACAAGCGACGTCGGTATTTGGTATGCTAAGCAAGATCAGTTTGATCTTCTTGGTTATACTGACTCTGACTTTGCTGGAAGTCTCACTGATCGAAAAAGTACGTCTGGTTGCTGTCAATTTGCTGGTACTTCATTGGTGTCCTGGTTTTGTAAAAAGCAAGGAGCTGTGGCTCTATCCACGGCAGAAGCCGAATATATTGCCGCTGGCATTTCTTGTGCTCAGCTCCTTTGGCTTAAGAGTCAAATGAATGATTATGGATTGCAAGTTTCATCTATCCCTCTGTTATGTGATAATACGAGTGCTATTTGCATGACTAAGAATCCGGTTCAACATTCACGAACGAAACATATTGATATTAAATATCATTTTATTCGTGAACTTGTTAAGGAAGGAATTATTTCTTTACAGCACATTCCTACGGAATTTCAGTTGGCTGATCGCTTTAATTTTCTGTGCTATGAAATCGGCCTTCGCTCGCTGTCATCTCTCACAGGAATGCTAGGGGATACAGGATCCTGAGCTAATTGCTTGGGATGCTTTTGTATTGTAATATTCTGTTTCCTTCTTTTTATGCATTTAATGTAGTGTCTTTTCAATTGCTGTCTTGACTTCTTGAGTTGCCTTGTTTGTTGCTGTTAGGGTTAGGTGAGTCCGTTCTTCAGTGTTATTTTCTCGTTTTCTGCTCTGTGTGTTTTGGTAAGTTTTTCTGTGCTTTCCATCTTTCGGTGGTCTCCTAGTAGTATTTATAGACTTAGTAGTTGCGTCTGCTCTCTCATCACTCTCTTCAAAGTTTTTAGCCATGGCCCTTCCCTTTCTTCGTACCTTCACAGGAACTATGTTTCTAGATCCTATTCCAGCCAATGCCCATCGCCACACTCTGTTTTTTGAAAACCGTCAGATTCTACCTACCTATCATGTTCAACTTGATGAACTGACTGAGGTAGGACTTGATGTGCGTCCTTTTATCCAAAATCTTGGCTGGAATTTTCTTCTGTACCACCCGTTTTCAACCATAGTTTGTCCTGATGCGGTCCGGTTCTTTTACTCAAACCTTCGATTTACTGCTGTGCACTCCCGTTTTTTCACCACCCTTGTCTTTGGCAATCTCCTCACTATTCCAGTCGCTGAAATTGAGCGTGCTCTTGACATTCCTGTCAATGGCGAGAATCTTGAAGACGAGTCTGAACTCGGTCTGTTTAACTTCGATCTCGCTGAAGAATTCCATCAGCTTACTAGTCAGTTTCCTGGTCCAAATCTCTCTATGCCTGTCTCTACCCTGTTACCTTCCCTCAGAGCTCTCCATTTTTTTATCTCTCGAGTATTTTTGCCTCACTCTGGGAATCTGATGATGATAACCCCTGTTGAGCTTTGGGTCTTAGCTCATGCTGCTCATGGCATCCCTCTAAACTATGCTCCCCTGTTCTTTGGCTCTGTCATCTCCTTTTGCGATGTGAACATCTCTTCTCCTCTTCCTTTTGGCTGCCTTATCACCTCTCTCCTTCTTCGCCTGCGTGTTAACCTTCATCCCTTCGCAACCATCACCCCTTCCCTTTATCTCTCTGCCGACAATGTTATGGATCTTCTGGAAATAGCAGTTGAGGGGGAGAATGGCGCCAATAACATACTAGTTATCAGCAGTGACTCCGACTCTGACTCGTCTAGCAGCACCTCGGATGATGCACCAAAATTGGAACCGTTTGCTGCCGCTCTTCGTGCTCTTTATGGATCTGATTCAGACAACGAAGCAGCATAGTATCAGAAAGGAGCAAGCCTTTTTCGTAGAGGTTATCTTTAGGGGGAGTTGTTCGTTTTATCATTGTTTGACTTTCTGCTGTGTGAGCATGTGGTTTGCCTGACCTGGCTGTGGTCGTGAATTGTGTTTTTGAATGATTGCTGGTTTGCCCGACCTGGCTGTGGTCTTGAATGGTTATTTAACTGAATGTTTGCTATGTTTCAGTTAAGTTCTTGTCTGCTTTGATATTACTTTGGTGTTTGGAGATAGTCTGTTATTTATTGCAGGATCGTTAGGCAACTCGCTATTTCCAACTTAGGGGGAGATTGTTGGAGAATGGAAAGTCGGAAATCACTCAAAGGAAATCAAGCCAGCTGCACAAATTTCCTAATCTGCAAAGATTACCTTCCTTAAAGAAATTCAAGTGCAACGGTCGGCCAGCAAGGGGTATTTATACCCTTTCATGAAGAACAGAGTCGATGCTTTTGCAAGAAGTGGTATAGGGCTGATTGCATAGTGGGTTAATCACTACAGAGGCACAGGATCTGTTTGATTAACGGTGTAACGGGTCTGGGATTGGGATCCGGGTGTTTTTACGTTTTTGTTCGTTTTGTTGTTCTTGAGTCTGTTAGTTTTTATCCATTTGCTTGATAGGTTAAATCAATAAAAATCAGAGTCTCCTAGAACTCAGTGAAGTACTGAGTCTAGGACGAGGACGTACCCGGTAGATTGGGGAACCTCGTTAAAATCGGTTGTGTTGTTGTTTCTTGCTGTGTTTCTCTGTTTCTGTTTCTCCCTCTGTTTTTCCAGGTTCTGCATCTGCCTAACACTGGCTTCGTCATAAGGAAGAAGACGAACTCAATTGGCCGGGCTGTGGGCCTAGTCTCGAACAGGCCTTAGCCCAAGTTTGGTTTTAAGTTTTTTTTTTATCCCTCTTTGGGCTTGGGTGCTCCTTGAGCCCATTCGAACGCCTTCAACAGAGAGTGAAAGAGATTCATCGTCTCTATTGACTTTCAGTCTCATTTCCCCCAAATCCTTTCTAACCCTAAATTCGATTTTTCATTCTTCCACTGATTAACACGTACGTTTATTATGAAGATGATCAACTCCAAGTAATTAAGGGGTGCATGCATAAAAGAAACAAGTCTTACTGTCTTAGTCTCAACTCAACTAATTGATCATAAATGAAGAGCAACTACGTGACAATGGCAAACACTCAAACCATTTTGTCTTTAACTCTAATATTATTCTTCATTAATATTCATCTTGATCCTCGCCTATGCACCGCAGACACTTTCGATGCTTGTTTTGATCGTTGCTTGACGAAGAACGAGGCGTTGGGACTTCTTACCAACATTCCCATTTCTATTGGTTACGAGATGTATCGGTTGATGTGCGAGGATCATTGTGGCCATCTTCTCCGAGGGACTCTACCAAAAGGTGCTCCGAAGATCAAATCCATCAAGTTGCTATGAAATTTTACAACTACACATCAGGCCATATCAAACTTTTTGGAGAGTTGTTACATTTATGATAGGCCACATCAATCAGTAACCACTAGTAGTAACCTTCTTAGAAGTCATTTACTTTCTCTACCGTTCAAAATGAGAAAAAGAACGCAATTCTCATTGCATTTACGTTTATCAAGTACGAGTGGGCATTGTCGCTAAAGCTTGTTTAATTTCTTGTAGTGTGGAGAGCAATACACTATTGCATGATACATACTAAGTTTGTGTTTTTAATCTTTACGTGCACGACATATTTCTCACTCGATTTCATCACTAAAATTATGCAAGTGTATATCTATTCACAAACACACATAGCTTATTTGTTTATGTACTCTTCTGAATCTCATAAACTCATTAACGTAAAGTTTCGTATTCTAATCCACCAAATTGATCCGCTTGCTAATCGAAAATTTGGATGGATCAATTTGGCCCGAGGAGTTCTGAGTTGATCCATTTTGAATCAATTCCAATTGTTTAGAGTATGGCTTCCAATTGACTCGTTTTAATTGACTCATTTGACGAAACAAGATAATTGACCAAATTGTCTCGTTTTTTTTTTAATTGATCCATCCAAACGACCCGTAGAATGTATTTTATAGAATGTCCCCAAGGACTATTTTAAAAATGTATTTGGAATAATTTATATTTCATAAATGAGTCAATCATAAGATACATTTTTGACAACTATTTGAAATCATACTTGAATTTTATGTTAAGATGGGTTGATAACTATTAGTCTCTCTATCAAATTATTAAAGGTTTTATGTCTGGTGTGATACAATTGAATATGATACGACGGAAGTGCTAATGCAATGTGGTGGTCAATAAATGAGCTTTACAACTAAGGATGAATGCTTAAAGATCCCGATGCATGGATAATAACCAAATGAAACAAGTTAGGAGCAAGAAGAATTTCATTTATGACAAGTGGACAAACTTGTATTATCCAATGCAATCAATAAGTCAATGATAAATTCTTTCATGTAAAATGTTCGTGATCTGGGATCCAGCTACTGTCAATAAGAAACTGTTTTACCCATCTTTGTAATCCAACTTCTTTTGGTGCAAATGCCACCAAAAACAAGGCTGCCCGTCCACGGTTTCAAGCCCTTAACTCTAGTCCAGCGTTGTCACTTTGTTCCAATGGCTCACCCCGCCTAGAATTCATTTGACATCTCAATTACAAACCAAAGCTTTCCTCAATTAAGAAGCAGGTAGATCAGTAGATGGAGCACTGGGTGACACCATAACTATCTTAACCAAACTGAATACACAAGTCAGTCGCAACTGGTTACTTAGGGTTCGTTTTGGGTGTCAAAATGTGAAATTCCATGAACTCTCAACAGTCCCTGGATGTGAAAGGAAAGGAATCTGTTAAAAGAGTGAAATGTTGACATTCCATTTTTCAGAATCACATGAAAAGTGGGCAATGTAGTTACACTAGAAAGAAGAGTGACACATTTTATCATTCCATGGAAAATAGGTCACATTCCATCGTCCGAAAAACGCCCTATGTAGGCAAAAAGTACTTATTCTGAAGTTGAAAGATGCAGCAGCCAGCAACCTATAAACTGAACAAGAAATTTCTCGACGGCAAGAAGTTTATTACTTAGTCAAAGACCGTGACACCATTCCCTCCAATATGTATATGGGAATGGGACAAGGCTCTCCCTTGTTCCAACCCTTTCCAATCATCAACATACAGCTAAAGCATATATACAACACACACTCGCTGGAAGAACCAAACAACAGAAAAGTAAACAGGCACAAGAACAATCCTTTCCACATTTTCGGCTTCCCACTGTAAAAACAAAAGCTAATCACAAAAGTAAACATCTTACTTGCAACCCTGTTATCTACTGCTTTCTGTCACACATGCACCACTACCACCTTCATGCTCCAGCCCCGAGTTTGTTTCTTCTTTCTAGCAAACAACAGCCTCCTAGTATTACCCGATCAGCTCCCATATTCACAATGTTACAGCTATTAGATTCAAGGATGCAGAGAAGCCAACGCTGAACCTGCAGCAGAACAGTGGAAAATTCACAGGTTAAGCGACTTACAAGCATAACAAATACAGACAACAAGAGGCAAAGCCGGAGTAATTGTAAGGAAAAGCGAAAGGTGTTACCTTTTTCACAAATTGCCATGGCTTTAGCTCAGAGGAGGGACTCTGGCTCAGAGCCAGAAACAGAAGCAAACGATATGGTATCTTCCTTTGTTATGGATACAAAGTTCAATGGGGTAGTAGATAGCCTCCTCATTTCCTTGAAATACCCGTTACTCCGTCCAGAATAAGATCGTGGAGTGAGGGGTTCAGGTGTTCCACACACAGAGTTACGTCGTGATGTTGGAGTCATCGACCCATTCCCACGGTAACCATTTGGCTTCCTGAAGCTGTTTGTCTTTCGTGGGCTTGGTTTCGACCCGTACATCAGTTCCTTCTCTGTCAGCAGCAAATCTTGGAGCTTCTTTTGGTCCTTCAAAATGTGAAAACCAATTCGTCATACATTTGAAACACCAGCCATCAGATATTAGTTAAACTTAACCTAAGGGGTCATTTGGATTGTGGGGGGAGGAAGAGATTGTGCACACAATGAGTCAACAAGTTGTGCACAACAATCGATGTTGGCCACCAAAATTTTAGGGTGTCTAGTTGCAACGATATATTTGACAATATATCCAGAGGGGTATAATGACTGGCCGGAGAGGTGGCTTACTGGCTTGGAAAATCCATTATCCTTTTTCCCTTTCTGTCAGTGTCATCGGTGCAAAATAGCTAGCAGTGAATTATTTGGTATTTTCAACATTACTGATGCAATCCATCACCTATAATCTAATTGTAAGAAAACAGTTACCCAAACAATAAATAATGATAATAGATATAGTTCAATAGCTACTGTATTATTCACAATCTACTCATTTCAACAATCGTCCTTCCAAACGACCCTTAGCAACAGTATCTGCTTTATCACGAGTAAATCTAGTGTTGGGGTAGTAGGCTGGTCCATTATTTTAGATAATTGTTTAAGGTGCCAGTCAAAATGGGCAATACTACAGGTTCTGTTTAATCTGTAGGATAGTAGGAGCAAAAGTCCATAAGATCAACTGAAACTATTACCCGGAATCTCCGTTTCTCCTCTTCTCGATGTTGTCTCGTCATTTTGTAATCCTCTAGTATCGACACCAATCTTACCTGTAGAGAATTTATCATCAAGATACATGTTCAATTTGTCAAGGAGCAATCTATTAGGCACCATAACATCAAATAAAATATAGCAAAAAAATTGACGACTCACCCCATCGTAAAGGAACAGCATTTGCCTTTCATCTTCCCAGGCCAAGGTTTTATTAATCAGGTTGTCAACCATCACTGGAAAAATGTGCATATCAGCTTTATGCCATTGTAGGACCACTCAAAATAAATGTGAGTTTTTCAGAATTATGGTACCTGGAATTTTGTTCACAGTGATTCGAGCTTTCTCTGCACGCTTTAGGTTAATGTGAGCACCTCTGCCAGCTGAATATCTGTTGTGATCCTGATAATGAAAAGAAACAGAGAAGTTAAAGGAGAAATTGCGAGGACCTATACAAGAACAGACAAGATTACCGTGACATCAACAGAAAACTAATACTTGACACAAAAGGATACAGACATGCTATATCTCCACTAGTGACTATATAATTGAGCATTTTGTTTTTACATGGTACTTCAATTGGTATATGGGTTTTGCTTACCAGCTCATAATCTTCAAGCCAGTTTTCCTCTTCACATGCTGAGAGCCATCTGTCTAGCCTATCCATTATTTCTTTCCTGCTCATAGTTTGCTCCTTTGCTTTGGTTATCTGGGCATCAATGCTTGCCAAGAGTTCGCCAGGATCGACTAAACCTATGCAGTAACTATAGGATTAAAAAATTGATTTTCCTCAACAAACAAGCTTACTTGCAACCATTCACCCTCACAGTGAAAATAGAAACAAACGGTGCAAAAGACAACAAATTTCAAATGAGTGCATTATATAGTATATTCCAAGGACATTCGTACCAGAATCTATCAGCGCAGTGGATTTCTCAGCTGAAGTACTTGTGTCAGGTTCAATATGAGTCATTTTGCATATTTCTTCCAATTCTACTCTTTTCTTCATAACAAGCTCTTTCATTCTGCTAGCTTTCAGTTTAGTAAGCCTTTCCACTTCTGTAGATGCCTGTCAAAAATTGTCGATCAGAACAGAGCATCCAGGAAAAAATCATAACCCAAGTAGAGTATCCTAACCTTGTTAATTGTCTCCATTGAAAGGAACCCTGGTTCTACTATTTCAGACTCCGATGACACAAGAATTGAAGTAATTCTTGAAAATTCATTCTTGTCTGACTTTGATGAGTCCATCAAATTCCAAAGTTCACATAGTGAAGCTCCAATATCTTTCAGCTGCAGTTTCCAACAGGAGTTTTTTTTACAAACGGTACTCAAGGTGGGGGGAAAAACCAACATGTAGAAGAATAACAGCATGTTCAATACCTTCCTTATCCGAGCTTTCCTTTCAGATTTCAATTTAAGAATGGTCTGCTCTAGACCCTCGAGCGTGGTATTGCTTATATTGGTTGACTGTTCTTGGTTGACTCCATGCAAACTTGGATGGACCTCACTCACAGTCCTGTCAAAATCTAAACCGAGCACGCTGCACAGAGAATGTACCTCATTCACGCACTCAAAGACCTTATTGAGGCGGTCCGACTGCAAGCCAAAGCGAATAGAGTTCAGAATCAGTAAAGGGGAACAATCTTAGATCAGCAATAAACGTGAACTTGAATGAAAGGTTTCTTGTATAGTCATAGATCATATAACAAAGGAAAATGCTATCTGTCATGTGTTCCAAAATTAAGAAAATGCTGGGATTTCTTAGAACTCCAGCCCCTACACTAAAGCTCCTGAAATGATGAGAACTTCATTATTGTATATCTTAAGTAGCTTTAAGATTAACAAACCTTCTCCTTTTGAAGGGAGCGGAGATGTGTCTGATATTCGTTTAGCCTTCTTAGTGACAAGTCATGCTCATCAAGAGATTTATTACTCATAAGAGAGTCATTGAGACTGGAATAACCAGATATCTCCCCACCAATCTTTTCAATCTGTGCTCTTATATCGTCAAATTGCTTCATCCGCTCTTCTTTCTTCTTCCTCAAATCTTCCACCAATGGTGAAACGGATGCAAGTTTCTCCTTTAACGACATCGCCTTCTTGTCTTTCTGGACCTGAGTCACAGGTAATGCCAAATTGGATACTTGAATAAATTGGCTTAACGTTTGCAAAAGGAAATAAATTATTTCACAAGTTTTCTCGTCAATGGTGGTTTTTCTTCATGAACAATTTTTTTCATATGATCACATTGGACTTAGTTCTAAGTGGATCACGTACCGTTGAACGAATGTTAAGCTCCCCAAGGGCAGCCATGAGAGTTGCAAGCTCTGCTTCCTTTGCTGCCACAGAGTGATGAAGTCGTGCTTTGGAATTCGAAGCATCCTCCACCTTCCTCCGATAAACTTCTAAGCACTCTCTTTCCAAGTCTACCAGCATGCGATCTCTTTCAGCCTCACTCTCCCCAATTTCATTCCATATTTGCTGCTCACATGACAAAGCAGAAAGTTAGCATATTTGGAGTCATCTCGTTCATTCAATGATCAACAACAAACAGTTGGAACCCATAAATGCAGCAGGAACTACTTTTGACTAGCTTTCAGTTAAGATTCAAAACCAAAAAGACATGAATTTTGCAAGTAGGAACGGCAGAGGGGTATCAATCAAAATTAGAAACCACACAATTACAACTAACAATTCCCTTCCCCAAAAGTTACAATTACTACTGTACCGACTCAAATAACAGACGACCAAACCTAAAGGATTAGGGATTCCAAAGTGCAACAAAATTTCAAGAAACCCCAAACCATGAGGAAAAATTCATGTTTGTTTCCAGCAACAAACCAGAAAGGAATTTCAGAGAATCAGAAGTACCAATTAAAGATGTAATTATGTTCATTAGAAAAAAAGGAAAGAGAGGTTTTCACTGTGGAGTGTAGTTACTAACAACTGGAGAGGAAAGCAGCAGAAGCCATACCTCCAGTTGACCTATCATTGCTGTCATTATTAGATACCCAAGTTCATTTAACAATTTACAAAAGGAAAAAGAGCAGCAGCCGTCAATCCTCTGTTCCAAAAAGAGCATAGGCAGGAAGGGAAATGGAACACAACCAACCATCGCCCAGGAGGAAAGTTAAAAACTTTGCTGAAGCTACAAGTTTGTGTAATCGTTACTGGGAGTAAAAGTTAAATTTCCCAAGAAAAAAAAAAAGCAAAAGAAAGAACGAATCCACCAAAAAGTAGAAGCAAGGTTACATGCTTGGAACAGAACCCAACCGACGGTTTTTGCAGAGAAAGCAAGACAGCAAGGAAAGGAGAGAGAGTGAGAAAGAGCAGAACCTGAAGCTCTCTGAGTAAAGCGTTACATGTGGTGCTTGTGCGCACACTGGTGAAGGTGGGACTTCCAATTGCCAGCATTTCACCCCCCTCGACACAGAAAACAAAGCTTCCTCTGTTCTAATTATAAGAAAAAGCAGAGGAAGAAGAAGAAGAAGGGTGGAGGTTTGATTCAGGCCGGGCAACTGAACGAATGTGGTAAATGTAAGGAACAGAAGAGAGAGAGAGGAAATGGGTTTTAGCAAGAAGGTGAAGGAGAAGGAAGAGAAGACGCCAAGAAAGTGAAGAGACACTTTTGGTTTCAGGTTCAGATCTGGACTTGAAATAATCCAAGCAACCAACCTCCGCCCATTTTTTCTCTCATATAAAATTTTGCCTGCGAACTTAAAACCCAGAAACAAAAACAAAAAAAAAGAAATAAAGGGAAGAGAACAAGAGAAGGATGGAGGGAAGGGGAGAGGGGAAAGAGACCAGCTAGTGGATCTTAACTTAAGTAGGTAAAATAGATTATTCAAGAAAGTGAAGAAAGCAGATAATGATTGGGATTAAGAAACTAGAGAAAGAAAAAGCTAATCTCGCGCAAATGAGAATGAGAAAAGACCCATATTATGGTTGTGATGCCACTTGTGCCGGTCACGAAATTCACATTACACCACCGGTATGATCGACTTACGTGTTCTAAACAAATTAACATCATTTTAATGAGTTTAATTAATATAAAAATTAATTTATCATTCATTCTATGAATTTAATAGTTAAAAGTTGATGATATTTGTTGGATTGTAACTTAATTGTCCACAAATATGTTTTATATATGATTAAATACATTGGATATTAATTATTTTTACACTTTTTTAAAGCGGCATGAACCGACACAAACTAGTTATACCACCAGTCGTACCATTCCACTTGCCAAACCGGCACAACGTTATAAACCGGTTTGACACCCATAAACCCGACCCGACTTAGGTGGAGGTTAGGCTAACATGCGCCGGTTTGTCAGGTAGAGAGGCAGCCAAGGGATCGGCGGCGTTAGCAGCCGAACTCCTCCCTTGTTTTCCGGCTGTCGCCCGTCTTTTTTTTGTGTTAATTTTTATATTAATTGGGACTTGGGAGGTTTCGGGTTTTGTAGGGATGGCAAAGGTCGGGTTCGACGTAGGAGGAGGGAGGGCACTTTGCCCTTGGTCCACCATAGGATAATTTTCTAGGAGAGAAAAAATTAATCCCACATATATTTGACGGAGAATCGAACTCAACACCTAAAAGTAATATATAGATATTTTGAAGTTACACCATAACTTGTTATTTATTCATTAATTGACAAAAATAATTAATTTATTGGTTCATTCATGATACTATTAATCGACAATAGCTTGTTTGGTATTATCATTATGTTATGGCTTATGAGAAATTTGTTGGACTGGAATGAATTGATAAATTATCTCAGATCATGGTAGAGACAAAAGTGCATAAGTTTTATCAGTCAGTTTATGTAGAAAGAGCATTTTTAGATTAACCTATATTAAGAACAAGTTTCAAAATTGAATTGACGATCAATTTGTTAATGATTGTTTAGTGGGATACTTTGAAAGAGGCTCACTTAAGAGTGTAAACAATGAATGAATTTTTTTCATAATATGAAAACTCGTCGTGGTTGTTTATGCTATAAATAATTGTATTTGTTTGTACCATCTCCATCTAGCTCGAGGTATGAACAATGATATTTGTTGGTGTGGGGTTGACTCATGATCCGTTCGTCTGATCTCGTCGGGAGGGAAAGAACCTGTGAAAGAGCCGGGGATGCCCCCCGGTTTGGCAAGTGGAGGTTAGGCTAACATGCGCCGGTTTGTCAGGTAGAGAGGCAGCCAAGGGATCGGCGGCGTTAGCAGCCGAACTCCTCCCTTGTTTTCCGGCTGTCGCCCGTCTTTTTTTTGTGTTAATTTTTATATTAATTGGGACTTGGGAGGTTTCGGGTTTTGTAGGGATGGCAAAGGTCGGGTTCGACGTAGGAGGAGGGAGGGCACTTTGCCCTTGGTCCACCATAGGATAATTTTCTAGGAGAGAAAAAATTAATCCCACATATATTTGACGGAGAATCGAACTCAACACCTAAAAGTAATATATAGATATTTTGAAGTTACACCATAACTTGTTATTTATTCATTAATTGACAAAAATAATTAATTTATTGGTTCATTCATGATACTATTAATCGACAATAGCTTGTTTGGTATTATCATTATGTTATGGCTTATGAGAAATTTGTTGGACTGGAATGAATTGATAAATTATCTCAGATCATGGTAGAGACAAAAGTGCATAAGTTTTATCAGTCAGTTTATGTAGAAAGAGCATTTTTAGATTAACCTATATTAAGAACAAGTTTCAAAATTGAATTGACGATCAATTTGTTAATGATTGTTTAGTGGGATACTTTGAAAGAGGCTCACTTAAGAGTGTAAACAATGAATGAATTTTTTTCATAATATGAAAACTCGTCGTGGTTGTTTATGCTATAAATAATTGTATTTGTTTGTACCATCTCCATCTAGCTCGAGGTATGAACAATGATATTTGTTGGTGTGGGGTTGACTCATGATCCGTTCGTCTGATCTCGTCGGGAGGGAAAGAACCTGTGAAAGAGCCGGGGATGCCCCCCCCCCCCCCCCGGATTAAACTCCGACGATCAAGTCAGTTTATGCTTAAGGTGAGAGTTAAGAGAACAAGGTAGAGAGATGAGGTGTAGAGAGATAGTGGAAAGTAGAAAGTGAGAAGAGAGAAGAGGTCACCTCCTTTGGAGGGCTTCAAGCCCTTATATACCTGTAGCGGGTACCGAGTGTTGCCATTGCCGATTGTGCGCCCAATTGCTTAGTCTGTGCACGGAGTATTTCAGTAAAACCCCCAACAATTGCCACCCAAGCTGGTGGTGAGTTTTAACTCATCGCTAGCTTATATATATATTTTTTTTAAATCTTCATCGATAATTTTGGATGGGGCCCTATGTACCCCAGTTTCCTCCCAGCTGGTGGCGCGTTTGACTGACTATACTATCAACAACATATACTAACTTAATATCAAAGTATGAATTTCACTTTTAAATTAACTATACTAGCAAAATCACAACTCAAGGACATATGATTAGGGTATAGGTTATGTGGTTAGTGTATAATGTATTGATGGTTTAGGGTATACAATCAACAACATATACTAACTTAATATTGTTGATTGAGGTTAAAGCTAAGTGTATAGGATATGCTATTGAGTAAGTTATGATTGAAGTCACAATAATTTTACTAAATTTGATAGCTAATCTTTAATGGTTCAATTTTTAGGATAATTCAAACAATTTTACAAATAACTCGTTTGGCAACAGTTTACTAAAGTTATTTGGGCAATGAGTTATTTTGAAATAACTCCTTTTATCACTATGCTTTTGAAAAATACCACACGCCAAATACCAGATTTGCATGGTTATACTAAACGAGATACTTTAATCCAATTACTACTGAATTAATACTAAAATATTAAATAAACAATTAACGGTGTCTTTTGGTTGCAAATATTGATATCACCATTACTATTAGCTATAATACTTTACCAATTATGATTAGTTACATAACAAGTTTGCAAGTCATACAAATTGATTTAAAATTTTGACTAGTTTTTTTCAAAAAAATAAAGTATATATATATATATATATACGAGGTAGAAATAAATTGGTTAAAAAGTTGAGAAAATATTTTAAATTAGTGTAATAAAATGTGTAAGTTGGTAATGAGTAATGAGTTAAGTTACTTGATGCGCTGGCCCGAACAACCCGAAACCCGACCCGCCCGCAACCCGCCCGACCCAAAACCCGATGAACCCGAAACCCGATTTGCCCGCAACCCGATTGAATCCGAACCCGATGAACCCGCAACCCGACTAACCCGCAACCCGTTTGAACCCGAACCCGATGAACCCGAACCCGATAAACCCGCAACCCGACTAACCCGCAACCCGTTTGAACCCGAACCCTATTGAACCCAGCCCGAACCCGCCCGATTGACACCTATAGTCTTGCCCCCCGGTTGGTGAATTTCATTAAGGCGTGTAGCCTTCACCCATTGTAGATTCTTCATGGAGCTCTCCTCGTCGGGGTTTTTTAACCCTCAGTTTAGAGTCTTCAAGGCAATGTGCCCTCTCCTCGTCGGGGTTTTTAACCCTCAGTTTGGAGTCTTCAAGGCAATGTGCCCTCTCCTCGTCGGGGTTTTTAACCCTCAGTTTGGAGTTCTCCTCGTCGGGGTTTTTAACCCTCAGTTTGGAGCTCTCCTCATTGGGGTTTTTTAACCCTCAGTTTGGAGTCTTCAAGGCACTGTGCCCTTGGCGAGGGCATGGCATTGACTAGTCAAGGCATGGGCCGTGATTATTAGCCCTCACCCATTGTAGATTCTTCATGGCGTTTCTGATCGAGGCGCGGGCCGTGATCATATGTCGCTTGATGAGTTTCTCATCTCCCACGTTGTTGGGTACGTCTTGCCCCCCATTAGCGCCATTAACGTTCGGGAAAGTAAAATATTTCAATATTTAATAATGATAAAGGGATAGATTACTTAGCTTTACGTTGGCGCAGTGGCGACAAGAGTAGTTAAAAGGCAGACGTTGCGCCTTCAAAACACAAGGCAGCTTCGTAATCTGCTGGCTGACATGTTTGTTTGGCGGAGGAGTGACGCGGGTTCAGGTATTGGCGGCAACGTGTGTAGAGGAAGAGAATGTCTCTTCTTTTTTACCATATTCTCATATCTCGAGCTTCCTGTCCGTCGCCTGAGTTACTTGCCGCCGCTGCTCGTGGTAGTGGATGAGAGCCGATCTTCTTCCCACCGTTTCTCTGTTTCCCGGCGGGTTCTTTCCTGGGAGCTTTCTTTTTGTTTGCTTCGCATCTTAAGCAGGCCCAAAAATCACAGAGGCAGAGCTGTTAGTGACCTAGTTCCCGATCTGCTTCTTCTGTTGGGTCTTGCTCCTTCCTCTTTTTTTTAATCTTTTCCCCAAATTTCTTCTCCCTTCCGAAATCAAACAGCAGGATCTTCTAGTCTTGGCCCCAC